AGGAAAGTTAATAAAATACAAGGAGGTGATAAGAAGTAGGGTCAGCACAATGAAACATAAGAATGGTTTGCTCATTGTAGTGATCAACTTCGTGCTTCGCAGCTTCAAGCTATCTTGATGGCTGAAACTTCACGTGCCAAATTGCAATGGTTCGTTAATTAATATCGTTTCAGACGGAACGTAAATGCATACGTCTAGCTACAAACATGTTGGTTTATGGACATTTTAAGAAAATACCTTACCAAGAGTTGCTTACTGTTTGAAGATACCACACTTCATGGTTTACATTTTGCTTCTAACAATACGAACAACAGTAAATAAAACAATACGTTTAAAACAAAAGGCAATAGCTGGAAACACAGATGTATGGAAAGATGTAAAGGTTTGCACGAACCGAAATTTTAAAATTTTACCACGTCCTGCCCGAGAATCATTTGGACCGATCCAGCAGAAGCCAGAAATTTATCTTTCCTAACTGGTGAACTCTTTTTGGGCAGAACAATGGACCTGTCGTCAGGCAGAACACTAAATAATAATAATATCCCACTTAAGCCAGACTCCTTTATTCCAACCCGAACGAAGCCTGATCTATCTACAATTTGCCCTGACAAAAGTGTTATTAATACATGTTTTAATGCGTAAATGCCAGTAATCCTTGAATGATTTATATACCGATGCTCTACGGTCGTCTGAAATTATTTGGTGTTTGAGGAACGGTACAAAGGTATCGGATGCGAAGCAACATGTTACGTCGAACTATTTGTGAGGCGGGAAAGCTACGACAGCCTGACTGTGTCACGAGCACACACTACCGCAAACGAGCATTTTTCTTCAAGAAAACAATGAAGATTTCTGTCTTCTGGGTTGTTGCGCTGTGTAGTCTGGTACATGAAAGAAGAATGAATCGCCCTGATGACAGATGCAGTATGGCCTCCGAAACGTTGGTAAACATCTACCAGACTACACAGCGCAACAACCCAGAAGACAGAAATCTTCATACTCACCGCTGTGAAAACCTCAAATCATACAAGAAAACAATGGCCCGAGAAAGACGAAAATGTTCAGTATGACATGCGATTCGTATAATCTGAACCAGGGTCGAACCCAACCAGGACCCAAACATTATCTCTGCCACCAGGCCCCGGCCCGTGCAGACCTCTAGAAAGAGGGTGCCGAACTTCTGTCTCGCAAATTGTTGTTAGGGACACCATATATGCTTAGAAAATGCGTCGTTAACTAATATATTTATGGTACATACCTGAGAATAAAGAATACGGCCCACGTGTTAGGTTTTTAAGTTTGGCTGCAGAAACATATTGTTATAGGTTTTAATTGGAAGTAAGTTTCTTTACAAACATGCCGACATTGCAATTAGTTGACTTACATACTGTTACATACTGTTGAATGTAAGATACTTCCAGATTAAATTTGTGTCGTCACTATATTTTATCACAGTTGTTTTATTTAGAAACAGTATGTCGTAACTGATATTAAACCGCAGGGCCTGAACTAGGGGTCAACTTGAGGTTCTCAGCCAGCGCCTAGAATCCTGAACATGAGTTGCGATTTCATGAGCCTTGCTTGCTTAAACAATAAAACTATAACACACCTATCACCCAATCGACCAATTAAGGAACTCCACGGAGTAAAGTTCTTCATGAAAAGATGATAGTGACTCAACTGGTCAAGAAATTCTCCACTCTTTGTAGAACCCGATGCGTTATTAACGGGTCGACATGGCTTACTGCAATGCCGTCCCCACACAACCTCACACCGCATATTTCTAAAATCCACTTTAATATTATCCTCCTCTCGACGCGTAGATCTCCAAGTAGATTCTTATTTTCATGTAAGAACACTACAATTTCGTGTGTATTTATCAACGTCATCATGCGTGCTACGTGTCTTACCCATCTCATACTCCTGAAACCCAGTGTTTTTAAAACCCACTTTGTCGCTAATCACTACACATTAATGACGCACTAGCAGTAATCCTACAGTGTTCTCTGCAATTTCAGCAAACATGATCGACTAATCTGCAGTTGCATATTAGAAGAAACTTCACTGCAGAGACATTGTGGGGCACCTAGCTGGAACTTTCTGCTGCTATGGAATTCAGGAGGCGCGAAGAAGGGTCACTGAGGGTCTCTTGACCACCTGGCATCAACGTTTATAACTTCTGGGAGGGATGAGGCGAAGTCTGCGCAGGCCAGCTCTTGAGGAGTGTGTGGCGAATTGCGTATTTTAATCTGCGTGACAATCCATTTAAAGTCAAAGTTGCGTAAGAATTCAGTGACCTGAACGGCTTTCCGTATACAGTTTAACTTCAGGGTCATCAGCTGACCTCCCAGGTTACCTTCGAGGACACCTGAAGAGTAATGCGCATGCGACACGTTTTACCAATGTCTCTGAGGTTAATGTGAATAAGCAACAGCGTATCAAATGTCTGCTGCCTTCTCTGTCAGCTTATGTACAAGAATGCATAAAATATTAAACAAGGCCTTTGTAGAATATAATTTTAAAACATTAACGCTGAAGGTTATTTTTCCGTTGGACTATTAATGTATTTGTGTGTGTAAGCAAGTTGTAATTGCTGCCTTTCAATTGTTATTTCACTTTAAAAGCCGTCACATATTTCTGCCCCACCGTGGTACAAATTACAAAATTCTTAATTTTGCAATATTTAACTTCTTCTTACTTGTTTCCCTCAGATAAAAATATTATCGTCCCTTTTGTCTGGCTTAAGTAAAGTGTAAAGGACTTAGCATAACACGTGAAATTTGAAACTTTCACGGCGACTGAATGCAATGAAGTCTTCTCTGGTGATCAACCGTGCGGAAATGGCTTTTCGACCGAGAAGTCTTCATTGGTAAACTATAAAACGTAAACCTCGATACTTGCATTGAAATTAGCGGTTATGTTCACGCACCAATCTCAATTCACTCTGGAACCCCTTAGACAGGACCCCAGACCTGTTACGATGTGGTAGCGAAAGGACAAATCCATTCCGTCAAAACTCTAGTCAACTAGCTATGACTTTTACGTTATCCTGGGTGATATAACCTATGCCGTTTCTGAGAAACTTGGTTCGAGATTTATGTAAACTATGGGGTGTGTGTTGTGTATCAGCACTGACAGAGACACAGTAGGATTTGAGGTTTTCACGGTGTTGAGCCCGAAGATGGCTGTCTTCTGGGTTGTTGCGACGTGTAGTCTGGTAGAAGTTTACCGATGTTTCAGGGATCCTTGTTGCCTCCATCATCAGGGCGATGAGTGACTCATCTCCTAATGGAGGTAGCAATAACCTTTGAAACGTCGGTAAACTTCTATCAGACTACACGTCGCAACAACCCAGAAGACAGCCATCTTCGGAGGGAAATAGTTTTAACCTCGCCGTTATTTGTTCAATTGTGAAAAGATAAATATATTGGGAGGAATCGTTGTTAACGGAATGTTTTTGGAATATGAGACATATGGAGAAATTCCACACGGTCGTTCTTTACTGCGCTGTCCACGCCTCAGAAATGTGAAAAATCTCAACAAGAGGGTTGAAGGAAAATTAATGCTTACTAATATTCAGGTATATCATTCCCTTCTGTAAAAATGTAATGTTACTTCTATTAAACTTCGTGTCAGTGGACACGCCGCTCCTTCACACATTATTCATTTTCAAAGTACTCCTCCATCTACTTTTAGGTCTCCCAAGCAGTCACTTTCCCTGAGGTTTCCCAAATTTAGTTTCATATGTATTATATTGCTTTTTCCCTTATGGTTCTTACTGGCACAATTTAAACCTTACTTTAAACCTATATAAAATTAAAATTGAACTTTATACATTTATCGGACACAATATGTTCCGTAAAAAATTAATGAGTTGTATAAAGTAAATATCGCATTAATGTATATAATCTTTATTTGAGATATTCTGCGATGGAATGGAAATTTAATACATTACAAGAAAAAATATTTTATGAATATGCACTGTTAAACTGTAGCGTGATTACTATTACAACAATAAATTTATATCTGAAATCATAAACATTAAGGCCAAAGAGATATGCAAAATAACAAAAGGAACATTTGAATTTATATGCAGTTCTGCTGCGCTAAAGTAACCTTAACATTTCAACTCCGCAATAATCTCATCGGCTGATACAGAGTTATAGCATAAACTAATTAATGATAAAACAGGGCACAAAAACTGACGATTAGCAGAGCTTTTTATCTTAAAACAGGCAAGTTAGATACATACTAATTTGTTGGTTTTCTGGATAACTTTGGAAACTACTGAATGGATTTAAACAAAATTTAGCATTAGAAATTTAAAATTTGGAACTGTTTAACAAAGACTTGAAATTGCATCAAATTAAATTCTGTATGGCCTTAAAATCCCACACAAACGTCAGTCTTTTCCAATATTTAATTCTTAAATCAGTTATTTTGCACCAAAACTAAGCATGATGTCTCATTCACAGAATGATGTTAAAAATTCCAACTGCGCATCGCGATCACTTTTCGAACAGGTGCTGACGAAAACTTGGAATAGTCTAAAATTCAGCTGAGAAAAGTCAGAATCTACCGCTGTAATAATATACATGAAATTTAGGGAAATAATTTAATCCCACTCGACAGTCAGTTCATGGGGGAACGGAGACTCGAAGTCGCTAAGGCTCAACTTCCGGCAGGACACATCACTTCCTCTCTTATACGACATCTAGGTGTGCTTTGGGACCCTATCCAACCTAGGGTAATATTTCACCACAGGTAAATCTGTGCGTGAAGTTCACCATTAAATTCCATTTAGTGACGAGGTTAAGAATGC